CACTTTACACATTCAGTAGAGTTTAAAATTCCAACAGCTTATCACATAACACATTCAGTAGAGTTTAAAATTCCAACAGCTTATCACTTTACACATTCAGTAGAGTTTAAAATTCCAACAGCTTATCACATTACATATTCAGTAGTTTAAAATTCCAACAGCTTATCACATTACATATTCAGTAGAGTTTAAAATTCCAACAGCTTATCACATAACACATTCAGTAGAGTTTAAAATTCCAACAACTTATCACTTTACACATTCAGTAGAGTTTAAAATTCCAACAGCTTATCACACTACACATTCACTTTATGGACGTATCTGAGCCAATCAGATTAGAATATCAAAAAATTATACTAACACTGTGGTTTTATTACAAGTTACAGCTTTTACAATAAGGAATAATATTTTAAAAACAAGTACAACATTCTCGTCATTCTTATGTGCTTGAGAATAATCTCACCAATGATCGAGACATTGTACCCGTCTTAAGAGTATTGTTCTTTACTGTAAAAGCTGTCACTTGTAATAAAATACTTATAATCAATAAGTAAGTTCAAAATGAAACTATTAATTCTACTAACGCTGTTCCATCTTGAGTGAATTAAAATGCTTTTGCAAAGTATTAAAACAAAATGCATTTTCAGTACACTTAATAACACAAATTCTACTCCAAAAACGTCTGTGTTTATCATGATTACGTTTAAGCTATGGACACACTAATGGACAAAAACAAAACATACTTTGTATAAGATAAAGAACAAATTAATCAGTGACTACTACTTTATCAAAACCACAAGACTTCTAACACATGTAGAGCATACGGTAGTTCTGAAGCACTTTGGTTTATGGCCACCTAAAAACAAAAGGCAGTGTGCATGGAATTTCAGGCAAAAAGACACAAGAACTATCTATGCTAGTCCTCCCTAGTTTCAAAGTGATAGACTAGAGGGATGTCAGCTAGCCAACAACATCCACCACTGACTTGTGGTTTGCTTTGGCTGGAATTCTTATAATGCACTCATGGTCTCCAAGTGTGGAGTACAAAGTTTTGACAGGAACGATGGATCCACAGTATAGCATACTAACCACTTAACAAAAAACAGTACCACAAAACTTATAACACATTTAGAATATATATAGTAGTTCCAAAGGATTTTGTTTTCTGGCTATATAAATAACACAGAAAATTTAATACATATATTATTATTTTTCTTTTAAAACATTACCTTCTGAGTGTGAGTTCATCGGCCGTGACTGGAGCATCTGGACCAACCGCAGTCGAATCATATGTGTCATCATATTCATCATCGTACAAAGTTGGATCCCAGTTCTCCTCTTCTACAACATTGTCATATTTCTGATAGAACTTTCTCAGAGATTCTATCTCTTCCTTTTCATCCATTAATGCCCTGAGGTTGTTATGTTTACTTTCCCTAAAACCAAAATATTCAAGTTAATAAAAATTATTGTTTTTAACATTCTTTTCAACTCAAAACTCAGTAAGTGATTGTGTAGGTCAAAATATAATTTTCTACAGAGAATAATAATAATAAATAATATGACAAATAAGTCTTATATATCTACAAAAGGACCAAAAATATTGAAGAATCAAAATGTATTTCAAGATAAACAGGCTCGATCGAATCAACCAAATACATGACCCCCAAATTAACCTTTATAGTTTACACACTGTATATAGCTTCTAATATGTTTTGTGTATCTTCATGGAATTTTACAAGCTTTCAGTAATCATTAAGTCATTAGTAGACAAAACAAACCCAAATTTTTAAGGAAATATTTTCACTAAAAATTTCTCAATGAATATATAGAGTCAAGTTGTTGACAGCTCTGAGTGCAAAGTGATTTTCATGTTAAGATTAAAAATACTTTTTTCAGTCTGAAAAAAATCTCAAATTGTATTTGCATATTCTCTAAAACCTTCTAAATAAATTTTAAATGTTTTTTTTTCAGTAAAACTTTATATTTTATCTGTTATTTAACCATCAAAAAATAAAAATAAAATAGAAATTACCCCTTTCTTTCTTTCTAGAATGACTTCAAATAGTATCAGGAAACTACCATTATTTATCCTAAAACTTTATTGTTTTATTGACCTTTGAACTGCGACTAACCGATATTCCCACCACAAAATATGTAAATTACATAAAATAAAAAAAATTACTTTTCCTATTATCACACTGCAACATGAAAACTTATAAGAACATAAAATGATAAAGCAAGTTTAAAAACAAAACAAAATCAGGACTGTAATTGCAGTGGAAGTTGTTCCCAAACATATTTTCTTCTGGACACACATCAGCAGGCTAAGCTTTCATCACTTTGTTCCAACCTCTATTGAACTGGAAGCATTATTACTTTTTTAACTGAAAAGAACAGAAAAATAACTTTCATTGCATGTTTAGTTCGCTAGCCTATGGCTTTTGAAAGCTGAGATAAAGGCAATAGTACTTCCCCATGACAACAGAGGTTGAGAAACAGTGATAGGCTGAAATAAAAAAATAGCACTTTTGTATACAAGTCACAAGATCAATTTAACACTGCTTTGTTCAAACAACTATGAACTTCCATCTGTAGGACTACAAGTATTGAATTATGGTCAGACAAAATTCAGGAAATTCACAAACACAAATGATTTTGGTAAGAGTGAGGGTCAGCTTGCTGAAACCAACTCAAAATCAATATGTATGTGTTTTTTCATGTATGAAATTAAATAAATAAAACTTTTTTATTGAATAAAATTAAATTCTATAATTAGTTTTAATTCAATGTTACAATTTGTTCCCTTGCAGCCATCCACGTGTGACAGTTAAGGTAGCTTGAAAGAGGATTTAGTTATTGTTAAGGAAAAGGAACGGGTTTGTCTTTCAGTGCCTCATAAACAAGCTGTCAATTAAACATAAATACAAAACCAAATTCTTTATTCTCAATAAAATTTGTGCATTTTAAATCATTTTAATATTCTCATTATTATAAAAAATATAGTCATATAAATATACATTATTGCAATAACTCAGAATTTTTTCCCTTTGTAACTTAAAATATTATGTTAGTTTACCTTTTCCCTTTGTGGATTCTAGAAGTGTCTACAGTGTCATGAGAATAAATATCAAACTCATCATTATCGTAAATACACTTTCTATTGGCTAATACTGCTGGTCTTTTAGGTTGTTCCTTCTTTCTGTAAATGGACGAAAAAAAAATGTTAAAGCAATCGTCCAAACAAGATAGTAAAGTAGCTACAAAAATTATTGTTTTAAATGTGGTTTTTAAATGCAATCACTTGAGTGATTAATATAATAAAGTTGTATTTTGTTTCTAATCAATTTCCAATAGGCCTGGTAAATTAAAAATGTTTAACAAGGTCTCATGAAGAGGAAAATTTTATTATAATGTCTGCTAGATGTTAAAATCTTAATGAGGTCTGATAGATGTTAAAATCTTAATGAGGTCTGCTAGATGTTAAAATCTTAATGAGGTCTGCTGGATGTTAAAATCTTAATGAGGTCTGCTAGATGTTAAAATATTAATGAGGTCTGCAAGATGTTAAAATCTTAATGAGGTCTGCTGGATGTTAAAATATTAATGAGGTCTGCTAGAT